TATTAGGGTCTGTATTAATCTCCATGTGTGAGGAGTGTCTCTAGGTTCTATATTAGTGCCTGTATTAATCCCCTTTCTCCCCAGGTTCAAAATCTTGCTCTGCGCTGTGTTACCACTCCCCGAATCGTAGGAGTGAAGACCGAGTGTCCTCCTCCACCTCCAGACAGGAAAGAAGGTAAAGAGCGAGATGCAGATGGTAGAGAGGATGTTGGATCAGTTTTTCCAGCTGTCTAACATTGTCTTGTTCTGTTGCACATAGTATCAAAGTCACTGGACTGTTTCTCTCTTTGCTGTGTTCATGGCCTTCAGTCTCGGCCAGTCACGGTTAGCCGTGAGAATCTCTCTCTCTATCACTGCTCCGCCTTCATTGAAGGGTCGGAGTAGTATTGATCTAATCGAAGGCTGTACTAACCTGTCCCTGTCTGGCTCTTTCTCTCCCAGGAGCTACCTTTTCCCTGGTCCAGCAGCAGCAGTTCCACCCCAATCAGCAGCCGCAGCAGCACTTACAGGCCTCCAAGCAGCCAGCCCTGGGTCAGCAGCAGACGCTCTCCCCATCCCCCAGCGCCACGCCCAGCACAGCCTCCAACTCTCTCCCTCTTAACATCAAAACCTGCCCCCCTCCGTCCCCCAGCGCCCCCTCCGGCCCCCCATCCTCGGCTGCCCCGCTGGCCACCTCCTCGCACTCCACCTCCCTACCTCCCTGCTCCTCGGCAGCCTCCCCCTCTCCCTCCTCGATCCCCCTCTCCCAGCTGCTCCTGCCCCCCGCCTCGGGCAACATCGGCTTTTGCCAGCCCCGGGCGGTCACCACGGTGACCACTGCCGCCGCCCACATCCTGGTATCGCCCGCCAACAACCCCGCCCACCAGCCTCAGACCTACAGCAGCAACCCCGCTGCCCCCTCCCAGGCCCTGGGCCACGCCAAGATCGCCCCAAACTTGGGTGCCCAGACGTTAGTGGTTCAGCCTTTGCAGCAAAGTAACAGCAGCGACAAACTGGGCCAGAGTTCGGGCCCGGTTCCGATCCAGCCCAAAGGCGCCCTGCAAAGTCTGAGGCTGCCCCTCCAGCTACCTCCCCGGCAGCCCCCACCTATCCTCCCTGCGCCCCCCAATCCGCCCCAGCAAAACCCCCTTCACCCCCCGCCCCACGTCCCAGTCCAGCTCGTAGGAGCCAGGCCGGGCACTCTCGGAAACTCCCAGGCTTTGGGTCTGGCACAGGCCAGAAGCTGTTGCCATGACGGCGGAGGGTCCAGCGCTAACGCTCCTCCCACTTCTGCTTCCGTGGCAACCTCCGTACCGGCTGTAGCCCCGGCAGGGGGCGGGGCAGCTCCGAAGAGCCAGCCGTCCCAGCAGCCTGGCCTCCCGTTGGTCCAAATTCAGCAGCACCAGCAGCAGGTCCCGGTGCCGCCCAATCCGACCCGCTCCTCCCTCACTCCTCCCTCCTCCTCCTCTACCTCCTCCCCTCCCGCCTCCGCTTCTCTTCCTCATTCGCTCTCTCAGGATGGACAGACCGGTGCGGGCGCCACAGCACCCCCTAGCGGCGAAGGGGTATATGCGCAGTCTGCTTCAGCGCAGGTGAGGTTCCGTGCCACGCCCGTTGTCCACAAGCGTGGGTCTCTCTGTGCCCATCTGTGTTTCTATGTACGTCTGTTGGCGTTGGCATCGGGAAATTTAGTCTTAGTCTCTCAGTCTCTGCCTGTGTCTCTGAATCTCTCTCCGAATTTATAGGATACATGTTATATATGCGACATTTCTGCATCTGTCAACGTTCGCTGTAGTGTCCAGTCGGTCTGTATGAACCGTGTCTCCCCTCTCTCAGGCGAAGCCACCGATTGGCTCCCTGAAGCGGAAGTCTGAGGACATGTCCGGTGAGATGGAGCCTGAGTCCACAGCTGCCGCCACGCCCCCTCCTGAGCAAGGTAAGGGTTGTCCCGGCTGCCTGCGTCCGATTGATCTGCAGGAGGTGTCTGCGGAGGTTGGCGTGACGCCCTCGTGCCGTCGGCCCGGCTGTGACTCCTCCCTCCTCTTGCCTCCGCAGAGGTCGGCCAGCCCGGCCCCGCCCTCTCGGGGGCCGGTCGTCACGGCAGCGAGAGCAAGGCCCCGCCCCAGGCCATCGTCAAGCCCCAGGTCCTGACCCACCTGATCGAGGGATTCGTCATCCAGGAGGGAGCGGAGCCATTCCCTGTGAGGAGGAGTGGGGGGGCGAGAGAGGGGAGGAAGGGGCTGGGGACAGGAGAGGGCACAGGCTGGGTAGAGAGGAAGGCAGGGAGGGTGGAATAGGAGGGAATAAGATGATCAAATGGAGTTAGATGAGGGTGATGTGGGGGGACAGAAAGCGTAAAGGGAAAGAGAACATGAGGTAGCTACTGAGGGGGAGTCAGTAGGACAGATTGGTGAGGTCATCTGTCCTTCTTGCTGTCTGTGGGTCTGTCTGTCTAACCTGTATATCAGTGTGTCTTCCTCACTCCCTCCATACGCATTTGTCTATATAGGTGGCTGGCCCAGTCAAAGACAGGTCTGAGGGGGTGCTCCCAGCGGTCGTCCCACCCCCCACCCAGTCAGACTCCGGAGGTGCACCTTCAGGTGAGGGAGAGAAATGGTCTCTACAGTGAGTTCTGTAGATTGTGGTGACACACCTCTTGCACAGTGACCCTAATATAGTCCCTAGAGGCACACCTTGCGCACAGTGACCTTTATATAGTCCCTATAGGCACACCTCACGTACAATGATTCCAATATAGTCCCCAGAGGCACACCTAAGAGACTCGTAGACTTCAGTGTTCAAACAGAGACAAACGTAACGTGGACCTCTCTTTTCTTCAATCTCTCTCTCTCTCTCGTAGTGTTGAAGTGTGAGTACTGTGAGAACTTTGCTCCAGCCAGTCAGTTCAGAGGCTCCAAGAGGTTCTGCTCTATGACCTGCGCTAAGAGGTGACAGTTTGTCTCCACTTTCCATGGCAGTGTTTGTTTGCCCTCGCTTCCTGTTTGCTGCTCGGCTTTGTTAGACCCTTTTCTCAGTGAACCACACGACTCCGGTAAATCAAGCTGGAGAAGAAAGGAGGACAGAGAGCGTTAACAGGCTAACCTCTCACTTTCTGAAGGACAACAGCAGGCTTTGAATCTCGAAGATGACCAAAAGATTCATGCAAAAACGTGCATTTTTGATTAGTCAGTAACAGTTTGTTACCATATAAGATGTAAACACGATCAGAAAGTTAACAGTTAGGTCAGCCTTGGTCAAGTCAAGATCCCTAATCAGCTTAGTCCCCAGTCCCCTTTCGTATTGCTAAACCGAAAGTGTCGGATATACGAGTTGCACATCCGGTCAAAAGACCTTGAAGACACCAAGGCCAGCTGGGAATGCACAAAACAGTAAAACAGTTCTCGAGGGCTTGGTTGTTAACTCCTAACAGGCAGATGTTGCTCAGGTCCTTGGGTTTGTAGTACATGAGTACCACTGTGTTTGTGGAAGGCGCGTAATACTGCCAGGTCAGTGCGCCTCGTGCTCTCTTCTGCCCTCCTCCCGATGTTTGGTTTGCTTGTTCCCCCCTCTCTCTTGACGTTCTCTCTGACGCTCTGTTGGCTCCTCCTAGGTACAACGTGAGCTGCAGTCACCAGTTCCGGCCCAGGAGGGGGCGGGCGCCGCGGGGGGTCGTGCCCGACGGGGGCATCCTGAGGCGCAGGGGTCCTCGCAGAAGCAGCAGCGAGATCGCCTGCGCGAAAATCACCGGCCGGCACCTGCCCATCAAGGTGAGGGACCGGACAGGGGTTTTTTTTGACGGGACGACCCTGAGCAGGGCTTAGGAATTTGGGAAGGAGGCGGGGCTACCAGGTGACCAGAGGGTAATTTAGCAGCGGCAGGGACTGGGACATCCCAACAGGGAGTCTACCAGAGTAAAAGATCACAGCGGGATATAGGATATAAAGACATCCGAGTCCATGTATTAGCAATTATCCATGCTTCTCTAGACCCGATTTTTAAAGGAGAGGGGGCGGATTCTCTCCCGTTTGGACTCTTTTCTATATGTAGCACCAGCAGGTGAATGATCCCATTATTAGCTGAGCTATCCCGACCCCCTCCCAGCCTGCTCAGACTGTTTTCAGGCCTATAATGATGTGCTACACTGTGCCTTCTGCAGTGCAGGGCTCGGGGCCAGTGAGCTGTGGGATCACATCCCAGGTGGGGCACTGCTGTCCCTCAGGTTCCTGCAGTCAGTAGCCTGCTGTGCATGTGTCTGCTCTCGAGGCCATCACGGTCCATGGGAACTGTTTCTCAGACTTCTTGACCTGGATAAATAAAGGTCTTTAAAAATACAGATCTGCTGTCTCATCCCCATGGGTGGATTTTCATCGTCTTGGTGAGCCTTGGTTATGGGGTTGTGCAGTAAGTGCGCGTGTTCTCACGGTCTGAAGTCATTTTGGTTTTTTCGTGTGACCTGTGCATCCAGTCTGTCACTGCGTAAGTGGTGTGTTCGCTGTCTCTCTCCCTCTCTCAGTCTCGATCGGAGTCCAGCCGTTCAGAGGATCTTTCCAGCTGCGAGGACGACTCCCTCTCCCTCTCCCCCGGCTCCACCTCTTCCTGTCCGCGCCCCACCCGCTCAGACCCCGGCCCCGCCCCCGGCTGCCTGCCACTGGACGGCAGCTCCCACTTCCTGTCCAGCAACCCCGCCCACTGGAGTGTGGAGGAAGTGTGCCAGTTCATTTCCTCTCTGCAAGGTGGGTCTCCTCCTTCCCTTTCTCCCCCATTCCCACTTTCCCCATCCCTTTCTCTTGGCAGCGTGCGCTGTCGGAAGTCCTGTCATTCTTCTTGTCTGCCCCCTCTCGCTCGCTGTCTGCCGGTGCAGTTCGAATTTTAAATGGCCCATCAGGCAGTGCCCATTGAGTAGGATAAGCCTCACCTCCGCTCCCTTTTCTCTCTCCGCCCACCCCCCACCCCCCCGTCGCCCTGCAGGCTGCGAGGAGCTGGCGTGTCACTTCCTGTCCCAGGAGATCGACGGCCAGGCCCTGCTGCTGCTGAAGGAGGAGCACCTGATGTCCACCATGAACATCAAGCTGGGCCCCGCGCTGAAGATCTGCGCCAGGATCAACATGCTGAAGGAGGGCTAGGGCCCGAGGGGGCTGCGCAGGCGGTCGCCGCGCCTCGGGGTGCGGGAGCGAGTGAGGTGGCTGCGTGCGTGTGGAAGACGGTGTGTGTGTGTGTGTGTGCGAGCGAGAGAGAGAGAGGGGGGGGACGGAGGCGATCTCCGTGCCTCGGCGGGCGAGACGGACCACCCTCTCTCGAGGGTCTGGAAGAGAGTGCGAGGCGAGGTGGAGCGATGCCGAGGGAAGCTGGTCCTCGTGTCCTCTCGCGTGCGAATGAGCCTGTGTGTGAGCCTGTTGTGTGTGAGCCTGTTTGCCCTTCTCTTGCCACCATATATACACATGCTTGCGGATCTGGCTGTCTGTCTACGTGTCTCCACTGGCAAAAAAAAAAAGTCAAGAGCTCTTTTAAAACGGTATCTTTTACTCTGCCCTTAAAAGGTCATTAGGCGAGCTGCCTTTTAAATTTTAAATGGTGCTTAAAACTACAACACTAAGACATAGTGTTAGGATCAGACAGAGCCCTGCGTTATTTTTCTATATTCGCTTGTGAGCAGAGTCTGAGTAATTGAGCTTCAACTGCGTTAATACTGACTTCTAATGCAGACTTTAGAGATGCGTCTGACCCAGGGAGATTAAAACAGGCACTAACAGAACCCTCCAGACACACATAACAGATTAACACAGACCCTAATATAGACTTGAGAGACACCCCTAACAGATCTTACTAGAGTCTAATATAGTCCTTAGGGACAAATAAAAGAGTTCAGTTGCTTGCAAATGCGTACCATCCATACCCTTCTACAGACCCAAGAGTGTTTCTACCAATCGGAGTCATTTAGACTGTCTTGATATCTGTGTGTCTTGAGCGCTGCTCACAAGCTAGTATAAGCGAGTTCTGCATAGCTGTTTGTCTCACAAATCACAAAGGGTGAGTTTGTGTTTAGCAGTTACATTTGGTACTAGTATTACAATAATGGATATTCTGCTCAATAACCTAATGCTTAGCACAGCTACATTTCATGTTTAATCACAATTGACTTACTAATCCAACCTTGCTTTGTAACTAGAAATAAATCTCATGGAAGCCGGCAGTGGTTTTTGTGTTTATTTGGGTTCTGGAATAGACGTGTTCAGCTATTAACTGTAGAGACAGGAGCCTTATTTCCTTTTTTTTTGTCTCAAATGGGATATTTGCTTTGCAGGCAGGTAACAAAAAGGCCGATAACTTTTGTACCCGGTAAAACAATATGAGACATGCATGTATGATGAGAAAGAATGAATATATAGAGAAATCTGGGTAGTCTAAGTTAACACCCTTTTAGAATGAGCTCAGATTCATTGTGCAAGGGGTAGCCATGACTGTCGGTAGTTGTATCAGTCTTCTGTGCTGTTTCTTTGCCATAGATGTCTGAAAGCTATAGCTGTTGTGTATGGTTAGTATAGCTGGCTGCCTTCGCCATTCTGCTCAATCTGTTCATATTGGTGACCAAACCAGCATACAGCAGTGAATGTTAGAGTAGATTCAAATGGAAGTCCTCAAGCAAAAAGCCATTGCTGTAGTACACATTAAAAGAGTGTTTTCTCAGGAATAATTGCTGTTGGCTCGTGTTTGCTTGTAAGTCAACAGCAGTGCCTAGACGACAAGCGAACTGAAGATGAGGGGTGTGTGTTGCTAGAGCTCTCCTTTTCAGGTGTAATAAAGAAGCAACTAGATGCACTTACCAAGTGGTGCCACCAGGGGGCGGCAGATCCATTGTCCCATCTCGGACCTTAATGACTTAATCGAGCCAGTGCATGAGAAGTCCAATGGGCGGGAATCGGGCGCAGAATCAGGGTTGCCCAGCCCCGTTCCAGATGGTGGTGTATTAACATTGCAGGCTTTCACAGTTTACCGCATTATCCACTACACCAATGGAGAAGAATTGTCCTTTTCTTTCTCGAAGGGGCCGATCAGCGCGCATCAGCTGCGCTTCTTCCGTCCTGGCCTGTAGATGGCGCCGGCTCCCTGAGTATTAACTTTGCAGGGTGTGTGACGTCGGTCTTTATCGGATCGTGCTGCAGCTCTGGTGTGCGGCTAGGTAGAGCCGGATTCTCACAGCCACAAAGCAGCCCTGGGAGTTTTTCAGGGTTTGGGGTATTGTGTTCACTAGGTGACCCTGTGTTTGGCTTCACACAGTTCAGTTCTGTGTCCAGTGTGGAGAATCCACTTTCCCCCCCATGTTCATTTGCTGCAGCGCTCATAAGTGCGTTTCCTTTTTCCGTTTTCCCCCAAGAGAAGTCGCTACTGTTGTTTCTTTTTACACCCCGGCCTCTTTTCTTGATCTCGCCCCCCGCTGTGCTGCGGTTTGTCTCGATCGATATTAAGCAGGCGGCCCCGTCACTTTGATCAGCCAGCTGCTGGGCGATGAGCGAGACGGAGCGACTCCAGGGGGAGAGGGGCTGGCTGAGCGTGGGGTGAGGGAGAGCAGCACAGAGGCGCGACAGCGAAGCGAAAGACAAAGCAGAAGAGCGCAGGCAGGACCCGAGCCGGAGACCTCTTAAGAGCACTGCAGCAATTAGTGGTACATCTTATTAGGAGTTACACAAAAGCGAGGGATTCAGCCTCAGTCTCGACTTCCAGAATTATGCCCCGGAGCTATGACGCTCCAGTGTGTCCCTCTGCACCAAGCGCAGAGAGTAGAGGAGCAGTTGAAACGGTGGCGAGGAATACAGACCAAGTTCCATAAAGGCAGGCACCTCGTGTGACCAAGCAGGGGACGGACTTTCGTGTTCCCGCACGGAACTTCGGTCCTCAATCCCACTAGGCTGAGGGCGTGGGATCCCAAGTCCTATGTCTGCTGTAGAAAACAAACCCAATGCCGATCGTTAACATCCGTGTCATGTTCACGCCTGCAGTCTGCGTGCAAGTATGCTCTGGCCTACGACTGGCATATTCCATCAGGCCCACATCATCATCATCATCATCATCATCATCCTTACACGTATTTAGTGTTTTTCTGGACACTCCACTCAAAGCTCTTTACAGGTCATGGGGAATCCCACTGTCACCACCAGTGTGCAGCCCTACCTGGATGATGCCCCAGTCCTCTCCCCACACAGCAGCTCTCAGTGGGGAGGAGAGCAGAGCGATGAAGCCAGTTCAGAGATGGGGATTATTAGGAGGCCATGATGGGTAAAGGCCAGGGGGAGATTTGGCCAGGACACTGGGGTAACACCCCTAACTCGAGCTCTGCATGTCGCAGCCTGAGCGCCATTTGATCTAAATGCACCACTAAGCAGTTCTGGTTGCCCCCGCCGTGACCTGGGTGAGCACCGTCTCACTCGCAGAGGTCACGGCCCCAAGCCAGAAGAGGGAGCACAGCCCCTCACTTGTGGGGGCGACGCCGGATGGGGTCTCGTCAAGCGCTGGGCAGCTTGGCCTACCCTTTACCCAGGTGCACCGGCACTGGCCTACCCTTGGCTCCCGGCACCGGCTGCGTGAGGCAGAGCCGAAGAGAGAAGGAGAAAGCCAGCATTTCAGGTACGGCGTTTCTTGGCCAGTCTAGTTCGGTTATTCCTCAACAACGCGGGACTTTTGTTCTTCCAACCCTCCTGCCCTGCAAGTCCTCCGGCTCCTGCTGTCCCAAGCAGTTCTGCGGCTGCCCTCCGCGATCCGTTGAAGCCGGTGAATGTCTCCAGTCCCACTATCCCAGGAATCGGGGCTCAGAGGTAGATCAGATTCCTCGATGGACTTCCCAACAGCTGGATCCTGAAACCAGCACTGGGGGGGGGGCGAATTTCCAACTCTCTCCCTGCGAGCTGAATGTGCCTGCTAATAACCCCCTTGCTAATTCGATCAACATCACCGTGACTGATAACAACACACTCTGCGGCATCCAGAATCGGCCACATGGTGTCTCTGCACTACTCAATCACGTAAGGCACCGTTTGGTATCGGATTCTTGATTTCCAGCTGAGGAGGCTCATATATGCATGCACATGTGTTTATATAGGCAGGCCATGACATTTTTCTAAGATGAGCTGTGCATCTGGAATTGATCCTATGAGTTTGAACTCGTCTGTGGCTGTGGAGAACAGCGAGGGGAGAGGAAGGCGAGCCGGTGTGAATAGCGATGCCCTGGTGGGTAATTAAGGTTATTATTTAATTGCAGTTCCCCTGACAGAGCAGCCAGAGCCACTCCAGGCTGTCCGGGCCTGATTGTACTGTGATCTCGAGTAATTATTAATGGAGATTCTAATCAGACTCTCGCCGATGCTGTGATTGTCTGCGGAGAAGTGATAACGTGTCCAGACAGTTATTTTCCAACCTTGTCGAACCAGTTTTCTCTCCCTCTCCCTTGCTATTGTTCTTTCTTTGTCTCTCATCTCGCTCTCCTCCGTTTCTCCCCCTGCTCTCACCCTCTTACCCTCCTACCCCACTGTCACCTCGCTTTCCCTCCACTGTCACCCTCTCATCTCACTCCCTCCTCTCACCCCACTCACTCCTCTCACTCTCCCTCCTCTGATCCCTGCCCTCTCATCTCATCTCACTCTCCCTCCTCTTTCACCCTCTCATCTCATCTCACTCTCCCTCCTCTGATCTCTCACTCTCCCTCCTCTCTCACCCTCTCATCTCATCTCACTCTCCCTCCTCTGATCTCTCACACTCTCATCTCACTCTCCCTCCTCTGATCTCTCACCCTCTCATCTCCTCACTCCCCCTCCTCTGATCTCTCGCCCTCTCATCTCATCTCACTCTCCCTCCACTCTCACCCTCTCACCCCATCTCTCTCCCTCTCTCAGTGACCAGACTGCTGTGTGAGGCAGGGCACAGACTCCTCCTTCTCTGCCTCTCTCTCTCTCCCTGTCTCCCTCGCTCTCTCTCGCTGTGTCTCCCTCAGTGCCAGTAGGACAGCGATGTTGGCTGTGTTATGGTGTCTGTGTGTGTTCCTGTGGCCAGGCTCGACTGTGGACGGTAAGGCGCACATGCATTTTGCTGGCTTTCTCTCTTTCCTCCTCACTTCTGCGTGGCTGGGATTCTTTTCAGTCTTTGTTTCGATCACTTGGTCTAGTCACTTCAGTGCTGGGAGGGTCGTTGCTCGTACTAGGAGCTCTAGCAGCGGCTCAGTTTTAGTGCCTGAGTCTCAGCTCCTCCGAGATCAGATACCCGACTTAGTGCATCTGCCCGTGTGATTGTCTCAGTGGGTATCTGTCTCAGTGTGTG